TTTTCTTGGCTGTGCGTTGAGGCACTAAGGCGTGGCTCGTGGGAGATAGTGGAGGAATCATATTCCTATGTGATCAAATTTAGGCATCTTTGGTGTGTGTGTGTGTGTGTCGGGGTGTGTGTGTGTGTGTGTGTGTGTGTGGGGGGGGGGGGTTTATTAAATTATAGTGTTTAAAGCCTAACTATGTTTCTAGATAGCAGTTAGTTTCTGGTGCGGTCCTATCCTAGATGAAGCTAATCAGATACTGCGTCCAGAAGATTTATTTAACTGACTTGCTTAAAACTTTGGTTAAAAATAAATATCTGCGAAATCAATGAAATGCTTACATTTCTTGACACCGCTCTCAGGAACTAAGAAGCTACAGTTTCTACCCTGATAAAAGGGCGGCAACAGTCAGCTGGCAAAATGTATTGTTGGGATAGAGAATGTCAATGCCTCACATTTGAAATCAAACCACCAACAAGATTTTGGATATAAAGTAGCTCTTTATAGCTATGATATTTTACATATCGCTAATGGCATGACAACTGCCAATCAAATGTAAATAAACTTACAAAAAAGGGTGTGAAGCAATGTATAAAACAAAAAATGCTCTGTGTCTGGCAAATATTTGGATCTGCTTGTTTACCCCCCCCTCCACAAAGGGCTCTGTCTGCCAACACTGCTATTGTTCCTGCCTGCTTCCTTAGTAGCTCATGCTGTTGTCGTCTGGATGATCACAGGCTTAAAACCCAGTACCAGAAACATTATCTGACATAAAGAAATTTCCAGGCAAGAGCTTGTAGTAGGGTGGATCATTTGCGCAGACTAAGAAAAGAAGTACTAACATTTGACACTAACAATGAGCATGCTTCTTTGCCCTGTTTTAAAAGCTCTATTAACACACATGTTTATGTGCTGACAGCAATGCATTCACTTACCAACACATGTACAGGTTGGGAAATCTAATTGTGGGTCCTTGATTGGAGTATCCAGCAGGTTCTTTGTGGGTGTGTCTAGGTAGCGCAAGGGGGAGTCCAAAAAGCCTTTTAGAGATGGTGAAGAATTTAGGCCATCCTTTATTGGTGTTCCCTCCTCAGAATAGCATGTGGTCGACAGTACCGCTAATTCTCCTGAGGCTTCAATTTTAATTCTTTTAGGGAGTGGAGAGTCTTGTATGCCCAACACATCCTCTAGCATTCTTCGATGAAGCTGCTGCTTGACCAAATTGGTTTCCTGATTCATCGAAACATCAACGGGGCTCATATGTTGATTGCCCAAAGACCCCTCTGTGGATGGCTGGCTATCTGTTAATCCACTTTGGGTATCTGATTCAATCTTGCTGAACTGCATTTGCTGATCATCTGAATGAGGTGTGGTGTTGGCTTGAGGAGTAGAAATTGAGGAAACAGACTGGGTGTTGTGTGATGATGTAGGACTGAGGCCCTGAGGACTAATCTTGGATGGATTTTCGGGGATAGGGGTTGAAGTGCTCTTCTCCTTGTGCTGACTCATTGATGTGTCTCCAAATTCAGCCTCAAATTGGCGAATCAGTTCTTCAAACTTTGGATCTATGTTAATGACTTTCTCCAGTTGTGTGGTGCTGGAAGGACTTGAGGTCACAGGGATGGCACTGCAGGTATTAGTGGAGGTTAAGCTGATGCCTGCACCTAGTGATTTTGTGATAGCTGCAGGAAACACAGGTGTGGACAAAAGGTCCATAAGAGCTGGAGCATTTTCTGATGTAACAGTGGAAGAAGGAGTTAGTGAGGTGTTGGAAATAGATTCCTGAGATTTTTCTGGGGCAGGGAGACCTGCAGCAAAGGCCTGAGTGGATGTACTGAGGGGGGCCAAAGAGGGGAGAGAGCATATCTGCAAATTTGTCAAGGATGGCGATCTGTCAACCATCTGATTTGATGTTTTTTGTACAGCAATTTGAGTCTGAGGGAGAAAGGTTGGCATGGAGGCTTTCTGTTTGTTCTTCTTAATGATAATCTGTTTGGGCTTGGGTTGGGGAGGACCTATAAGCATACTGGGAGATCCTTGGGAGGTTTTCCTCCTTTTAGGTTCCTGTTTGACTGGTAGAGGGGGTAAACCTTCTGTATCTATCTGTGGCCACCATTTCTTTAAGTCTTGGCAAGTCATAGGTGCACGAGCGCCTGGTGTTCCAAAGCTAGAAGGGTGAGTATGAAACAGATTTCTCTTGTAACGAAGGTGTTGTTGCAAAGCTGCTTGAGTGCAATGACTTATGGCTGCTTGGCTTGGAGACATAAGATTTCCAGGATAAAGCTGCTGCTGTTGACCATTTGACATTCCATAATGTCCACTTTGGGGGTTGTGATGGTAGTGCTCACCAGAGTCTGGCTCTTGTTTAACCCTGGGCAACACTTGATTACCTTGGACATGAATTCCACCATTCTGGTTCAAGTTAAGCTGCTGTGAGAGTGGAAGCTTAAAAGAAGCATTTTTGAACTTTGTGTCACCAAGAAGCTGTTTAAGCTCTGACATGGGGTCCGAGTAATTTAGTGGAGCAGTTGCAGACTTAAAATGTATCAATGTATGCCTCTGTTCAGGACCTCTATCAGAGCCCTGTGTCCACTGCTGAGGATTAGAATTGAAACCTGCAGCTTTGACCTGACTTGGGAAGGGAGAGGTAGAAGATGGGAGAGGGGAAGCACGGGCTGGATGGCCCTGTGACTGGGGTCTATGGTTTTCAAATGAGGCTGGAGACTGCTGATTGTTATGTACTCCTGGAGGGACAGACTGGGTTTGTGATGAGGAGTTGTCGTTAAGTGAGGAAGAGATCAAATTAGGTGTGATGTTTTGTGTGTTTTGTTGGTTATGGAAGTTATTTCTAAAGAAAGTTTGACCCGGAGAACTGACTCTTAGAGGGCTTGATAGCTGTGTCAATGCTTCTATCGCAAGGGCGGTCTGAAGACTGACGTTCTTTTCCTTGGCTATCGAGAGCACCTGGGGGGAGCAAGGGATAGGGGGTTTGGAGGACACTTGGTCTTGGTGAGAGTATTGATTGACATCCTGCTGCTCCAAACATTGATTGGACATGTGGTGGATACCATTCACTTGCTGATAGGTATGAGGCTGAGACTGCGAATGGGGTTGTTCCAAATGTGGGGCCTCACCAACTATTTTGTGAGATCTGTGATCCCTTCTAGTTGCTAATTTAATTTTCTTCTCCAACCATTCAAGGTAGTCTGGACAACCAGGCCCATCACAGTTGCATTTGGGGGGCTTCTCCCCATGTTTAGCTTGGCTCAGGGCTGTTTTTAAGATGTCAAGATCTTCCAGAGGTTCGCAGCTTGTTTCAGGAGCTCCTGCAGACACTCTGGAATGAGCGCCATCAGCACATGTCTCTTGAGTGAACTTCTCATATAATAGGGCTATTTTAGGCTGGATAACAAGGCAAGATGAAGCGGAAGAAAGGGGTAAAGAGCTTGCAGTAACAGAAAAAGCCATTAGATTCTGGGCATCTTCCACATCTGCATGGTGGATCCTTTCAGCAGGGGAGGTTCTACCACTGCTGCTCAAGCATGATTGCTGATGTTGGCTGCCATTGACCTTGCTCTGTCCTGGTGTCCAGCATTGCCTTTCAGGCTCTCTTCCTGTCCTCTGCCCGTCTGGTTTCAAAGATGCCTCATCATCATTACAGTAGGGGTTCACCCCATTGGCCAGTTCCAGGCTCAACGTGCCTTCCTGGAGGCGGTCATGTGAACCAATTTCCATCTGGCCTCCGTTTGTGAGGCCATCCACTGTAGTGACTTTGTGAGCAGTCTGAAAGACAAAATAATGACAGGTGAAGTAAATCTCTGCAAAAATAAACAATGGTATACCCCAACAAAAAAGAGGTGGTGTAAGTAAGAACAAATAAAGCAATGATGACAAGGACACAAGCAACATTTTTTATCATAGTTGTTTCACATCAGACCCACACTGAGCTAACTCTGTCACAAGTACTACATCAGTTTCACAGTTGGACACTGCACTGTGGATCAGTTTGGCTATGCAAAGTAGGCAGCTGGAGTTAGAGTGAAGAGAAGCTCAGTGTGGCAAAGGTAGGTCAACAGATACAAAATGATAATAGTTGATGACAAAGAAGTAAACTTATATTATTGTTACCTAAACTTAACTAAATTCAATATTATTTCCTCAACTGCTCAAGTTTTTATGGCTATATGAGATAATGATCAAATTAAACCATTTTAAATTCAATGGGATTCAGTTTATTTATATAGCTCAAATGTACAATATACATAAGTTATATAGTAAGTTATATATATATAAAAACTTATAAGTTTCTATCAAGAAAACAGGCAACAGTTGATTGCATCCAATCATTAACTTGCAATACATACAAGTGATGTATTAATGATTCACCTTTAGTGATGAGCTTAAAGTGTTGAGACTCAAAAAGCCTCTGTGTGGTTGTCCTAATCTTTAGCTCCCGCAATCATTTTACCTCACTTTGGAGATCAGAATAAAAATAAAAACTGTTCTAATTAGAAGAAGTGTGGTTAAAATAACAAAACAGGCTTCTATAAACGTTAACCTACCAGGGTGTCAGTAATTTTAGGCTTAGTGATAAGAAATAAAATAAATTCTTAAAATATACAGTTTATGTACATATAATTTGGGCTTTGCTGAGTTTCTGAGTTTTGCATCAACATTGTCACATTAGTTAGATGCAAAGCAAAATGTATACTTTAGAACCTCAGAGGACAACTGGGATTCTTGGTGAAACAGTAAAAGAAGGTTTTCTTTGAGCGGAGCCAAGGCTGTAATATTTGTTGGTAATATGTTACTTAGTCATGACACAAACAGTAAAAGAGTAGATAATCATTTAACAATTATCCACCCAAGCTCAACTTGAAGCTCATTGTTAAAAATAATTCACTTCAACTTAAAACAAATTAATAGTAAAACAAACAAAATGGTGGTAATGGTCTTCTGTCATTTTTTGTGATAAAACATGTAATGAGTAACTTAAAAAAAAAAACCTAAGACAAATAATTAGGAGAAGCATATGGCATCAACTGGGAAATCACTCGACCAAAAGGCTTCCTCTTTACAGTTTGCCTGGAGTTAATTGTTTTATGAATACACTTACTTTAACAGCATAAGGTTTTAGGAGGATTTTCAAAAGTAAAAGGTTTGAGAATAAATATTTGTATTCAGCCACTATGTTCTTAAATGTATTCAAGGTTCTTAAAAGTATTCTTTCTGTGCTGATGCAAAATGCTTTGAAAGTATTGAAGTAAACCTTGAGGAAAAGCATTTCCTTTTTACAAGCAAAAGATAAGGTGTCTCTTTACAGCTGAGAAGCTGATTCAGCTGCTTAAATGTCTTTCAAGAAGTAATACTATTCATCGAAAACTAACTTCTCCTGAGTTTTAAAATCGATAAGTCTACTTGGAGGTAGTTCAAAGTTGCAAAGTGCTCTCTCCCAAATTAAGGTCACTGCTGTCACATTAGTTTTTACAATTCCACCTTTTTGAAGAAAACAACTACTTACTATGAGCCAAATTCATTTGTATCCTACTACCTTTCTTGCAGCATTCAACCCAGTCTCACTCATTTTAGATTGTTCTCCAAGTCAGGGGGACCAACAAATAAAGACGATTTAAGGGCATGTTCAGAAATCATTAACAGAGGTTATGTCTTCACTGAACAGTATATTCCAACATGCTCAATGGTTTAGTGAAAAGGAAACACTGTCAGACTTAATGGTTACTTAGCACTATTGCAGAAGGCCAACAAACTGTAGGGCAGTTGAAGAACTGAAATTATGTTTTGATCAACCTTTAGCTTGAACAGCTATGGCTTGTGTCAGACCAGCTAAATTAACATATCACCAGGTCTTATAGAAAAATGAATATTTTTGCTAATCGAGAAGATAAGAAGAAGACTAAGCAGATATTTAATGTATAAATGAAATGAAAAACTTTATCTTGTACGTTGGTGCTCCTACAGAGAGCAAAACTTTGGAAAAGTGCGGTTATTTTAATCTTTAGGCTCCTTCCTCCTTAATACTTCTTCAAAGAATCAGATTTAAGATTTTACAGCATATCTTCAATTATCACAAGGAGTTGAATTATTTATCCTGCTTTTTCCATCAATATCCTTGATTTTTTTTCTTTCACGAATTACCTGAAAAATCTTAGGATCACACTCGTTTGAGAATCAGTTTCTTTGTAACCTCTGTAAAACATCACATATTTTCCACCTAACAAGTGTTCCCAACCTGAGCTAAAAAATGAACACAACATATATCAAAATGGCTTCCTTAATCTTTAAGTTAGGGCACTGCCTCTGTCCACCGATCTAATGTAAAGAGTCGCTATCCATAGGTGAAGGAATTACATATTGCAAAATAAACACCTATATATATATATATATATAAATAATAGTTCAATACATATAGCTGTATGTATCTAATTTTTTATAGGGATAAAACCCCTCATTATAGGAAGACAAAAGTAGGTTATGATGCAGCTAAGGCTTATTGTTGTTGAGAGTTGCATTATTTGATCTTAGGATGTTTTTGTTTTTTTTAACATGCTGAAAATACAGTATATTGCGTTTACGTTTCCCATTGCTGGTATTTTCTTTTTTATTTGATTATATATTATATATTTGTTTTTACACAAGAGAAACATGTAAAAATCTGTAAGAAGAACAACTCTTTTTTGGAAAGTTGTACTTCTTGGGTCTAGACAGGAAGTACACTCTCTGTCCGGCCAGGAAGTCCACAAGGAAGTCATCTTCACTGTCTTGAGTGGGTCAAGCTCCAGGTGCCTGCGACAGCACCAGTGGAACAGCCAATCAGCCATTGGGTAATGATGGATGGTGATAATTAGACAATTATCACCATCCTGAATCAGACAAAAGACTCTGATGCTGTCTGCAAACACCATGAGTTTCAAAACCAGGTTGGCTGTAGTGCAAGTTAATTGCATACAGACAGAAGATCAATTGGAACAGAACATACCCCTGAGGGGCGCCTCTGCTAATGGTTCCGAAGCTGTGATCTGGAAAAGCTTTTAAGTGGATGCACAGGTTAATTTTATTTATGTAGGCATTTTTAGCAATGAATCCGTTTGTTAGCTGAGGATCTATTTTTTTAGATTCTTGCTGTACCTTCACTTGTCTGACTTGGATCTTTTTGATGAGTTTGTTCTTGGGCTGTTTATACAGGGCTTTGTACCTCCTAAGGTTGGACCCTGACCTCACATTTCAAAGGGTCAGGTTAGGTTCTTCTACAATAAAGTTAGCCTTTTGTCACCTAAAGAACATCTCCAAGATTAAAGGACAAATGTCTCAGCAGGACCTTGAAAAACTAAATCATGAGTTTATGTTTAGAGGGATTGATGACAGCAACCGTGTCTTCACAAGTCTGCCAATAAATTGCTCAGACAGCTGCATTTGATCCAGAGTGCTGCTGCATGTATCCTCACCAAAACTAAGAAAATGGTTGCACATCACCCTAGTTCTAAAACTGAAACAATATCTCAGAGAACAGACTTTGAAATAAGCTTATATATTTTAATTATTCACCTTTGTTCTCTTTAATTATTTGTTCTGCCTTCATACCACTGCAAATTACTTTTCCCTTCTTTCTAATGTATACCATTTTGAATTGTCTTGCCACTGAAATAAAATAAACCGACCTTGCTCTACTGCTGTAAGCCTGTTCTTTGTGTCTAAATAGTTTCCTCAGAAATGTTGTGAAACATGGTTTATTTTTGTTATCTGTGCAAAAGATCTTGGTCAGCAACATGTCCTTAGAGTAACAGTTTCAGCAAGTTTATTCATATCACAAAAAAAAAGGCTTATAAACACTCACTGCAGAAATCGCAGTCTATTTCCTCAAAATCAAAAACCACGAGCTTAGAGGTTTTCAGTTTTTCCCTGTAAGTTGGAATGAGATAAAGCAGACTGTAATGAGTTATTTGCAGAGATCTGGGAAAGCACAAACACAAAAACACAATATGATTCTTTTAAAGTCACGACACACTGTGTTTTTATCTCTGGTGTGCCACTTAATATACTGCCAGTATTTTAGATGTCCTCTGGTTAAGCCTGTTATGGCAAATTATGACAGTCTTATTTTTCTTTACAATTCTTATCAGCTCTGCAAGCTGTTTTTTAGCCTCTGATATTGCAGGCTTGTGGTTAAATGTAGATGATGACCAGAAAAAACATAAACTCATGAATAAGAGGCATTACTGTATACAAAAAGACTACAGACAGGGACTACGTCTCCCATAACACTTTATTAGCACATTAAATATTTTTGTTATGTAAAAGAAGATTGCACCTTTTCTCTTTTTCCCCAAGAGTAGTCTACATAAAATAGCTGAGAGCACATCTGTAGTACACAGCCTGGGGTGTTCTTAGCAAACCATGTTTCTGTGAAACAAAGCGCTTTAGGTCCACATAAATCCAAGTCTTCTGTTTCATTAGTCAGGGAGCAGATATTAGTCAGATATATTAAAAACAAGGGTCTTTGGAGTCTAATCTGAACACATCTGTGCATATATTCTGTCTCTGTGTCCAGTAATTGTCATTGAGGATCCGGATATTTGTGATTACTGATTGGGGGTACAGCAGCTCTTGATCAACGCTATCATTTTTGACCCCAACTGACCAATCAAGATATCTCTGTTATCTTGATTGATGAGTTGGGGTCAATCAAAAATTTAGGAAAGGTTTCTAGGGAAAGCTGATATACTTTAAAGATAATTATCTGTTAAAAGTCAAAAACATACAAAATA